AGAGCGTTTTATGCTTCAAAGCCACACAGATTCAATGAACATAAATATAAATATATACATATATATATTCTTTTTTTTTTGCTTAACATATGCTAATGCTGCTTGTATCATTTATGATATAGTAAATCACCTTTGATCGCTTTATTAATATTTTTAAATCAATTATTCTAATTTTTTTCCTTTCAAATGTGAGATCTTTTTTTTTGTCTTTAAGATCATTTTTATTATTGCTGATCCTTCCATTCTCGCCTCATTTCACCAAACCCATGATTATGCCTTCCGCTAGCATTTTTCTTTTTACTTTATGATAGGGTCTATCAAAAGCATTAAAGCCTCCCGGACGGTTACATCTGGAGAAACAGAGGCGACCCCGGCAGGGCCTGCCCCAGTCCCTCAGGTGAGCGTGGAGGAAGGGATGCTTCGTTTTCTTGCGCAGCGGTTGTATCTTTCCTATGACATGGTCCTCGAAGCGCGTGCGGTTTTCGAACGCTATCGCGCACTCGATCGAGATGTCCCCGCCCTGGATAACTTAGCGGACGGCAAGCCGGGGGAACGCGGGGCGCTGGCGGAGATGCTGCCACTCCGTATGACGCTGGGATCTGAGGATCGTATTGGGATTGCCGGCTTGCGCGCGTTGTTTTCGGACCTTGGCATTGTGCAGTCCGACATCGAGATCGTCGGCCTCATTGAACGTTTATCGGGCCGCGTGAGGGAGGTTGAGACCAACGCTTGTGAGACTTCGCCGCTCAGCAAACCAATGCCGAAACGGAATCTCACGAAGCAGACCAGTCCCGAGGACCAAAGGACTTTACCCAAGCGAAGAATAACAGGCTCCGGGAACAGTTCCCGGGAGGAAGAGCGAAGGGTGACAAACAGCAGCGCCGCAGGGACTCCTCAACAGTTCGTCGCAGTGCCGCCAAATGATATCTCTCAGGAAATACTGAGCGGCTGTCTTCACCCGTCGACCCTGGCACCACCCCATGGCTTGAGCTTCTTCCACTTTCTTTTTCTCTTACAAGAGGATTTTCATGAGGGCATTGAGCTGCAGAAAGCGCTTCAACAGCAGGAAAAGGAGGCAGAGGAAGTGTTTCGCGAGATGGATGTCGATCGTAACGGTGTATTGACGGAGTCCGATATTCGTCAAGTCCTGGCGCGTTTATTAACGGAAGAGGTCACCTTTCAGGATGAAGAGACTATCCTGCGCCTGGCCAGCTTGCACCCCGTTGAGCTTCAAGCGGCGCTGACAGAATTCGACGTAGACTCCGACGGTCACGTCACGCTGAGCGATTTTCTGTCTGTGTTGCGATCTTGATGGTGAAAGTAAGAAATCAACTACGTCAATAACAGCTCCTTGCCAATCCTTATCAGATCAGAGGAATGCATAGTGTAGTGTTATTACCACCAGTTCCATTTATCCATAGGAGTTTTCAGGATGAAATTCACAACGCGGGAATGTATACATGTTCATATTCTTGGTAGTGTGCGTGAGTATTTCGAGGATCCATCCCAATGCCTACTTACACATTTCAATTGTTCAAAAACAAAGGTAGATTTTTCTAACTTTGAGATGTATCTGTATAATATGTTCCCTTCCATTCTTCTTTATTATGCATCATTGTTATTATTATATTATTCTTTTCTTCCTGCTATTTTATATTTTCATCCATATAAAAAAAATAACCGTGTTGTGACCTCGAAGCTACGGTGAGGGGAAAAAGGGCACACTGAAACCATTGACGCCATTTATATCCGACAAATCAAGAGAACACAAAAATGGGGGTTCCATTACTCCTTACGTGGCTCCGAAGGCGCTTTTCAGAGTGCTTCTCCCCCGCTGAAGGTGACCTCGCGCGGGAGTGTGTTCGCGGCCACACCGACAACCTTTACATTGACCTCAATTCCCTTATTTACCAGTCCGCTGCGATCATCGCCGGGGGTGGGGGGAGTTTCTCCTCCGTCGACGAGGTGGAGGAAGAGGTGCTGGTGAAGTTGATGGGCTTGCTGGATCACATCCTCTTCGACCTCGTGCAACCCGCCGCGCTGGTGTTCATCGCCGTGGATGGGGTGTCCCCGCTGGGGAAGATGTCCCAGCAGCGCGCCCGGCGGCGGCGGCGGCCCGCGGCCTCGCGCGGCGCCCCCCCTCCCGGCCTGGATTCCCTCTGGGACGTTAACACCATCAGCGTCGGGACAGGCTTCATGTCAAAGATGACCACCGCTATCCACGCGTATGCCGTGAGCCGGACGGAACGCATCAACGCAGCGCGGCTTGAGTTTGAAATCCTGGAGCGGCGACGGCGAGCTGGGGAGGGGGAGGGGGCCACGTCTCCCCCTTGCCAGCTGATTTATCGACCGAACAAGCCCATTTCCATCGTGGTCGACGGGGTCATGCGGCCTGGAGAGGGGGAGAACAAAATCCTGGAGGTCATCCGCCGCTTTCGCGCGCAGGCGGCGTACAACCCCAACACCACGCACGTGATCTGCAGCACAGATACTGATGTAACGGTGAGCTGCCTGATCTTGCACGAGCCTCGGATCTTCGTCTTGCGTTATGAGCCCCCTCCCTCGCTTGGAGGGAAAGCGAGCATACCCAACGAGGATGCAGCCGCTGGCAGTGGGAGAGGCGGGGGCCGTGTGGTGGACACCTGGCTCTCCACCTTTTTTAGTCTCCACACCTTTCGAGAATCCTTACGGAAGCTACTTGGGTTTAGACCTCCTTTAGATACATCCAAACTTCACGAGGACACGGAAAGCGAGTTCTTTGAGCGCGCGCTCCACGATGTGGTGTTTTCGATGTTGTTGTTCGGAAACGATTTCCTTCCGTTGTTGGGTGGTGGTATTCGGGAGGGGACGCTGGACGCGCTACTTCAGACCCTTTCCTCGGATTTCGTCTCACGACATCGCACTGTGGTGGTGGCAGAAACTAATCAAATCCAGTTCGAGTCGGCGCGATACTTGCTGGGTTGTCTCGCAGATATCATGCGAGAGAGGGGAGGCTCTGGCACGCTCGCTGTCTTTGCGGACGGCGCGGAATTGAGCTGGGAGTTCACAACCGATGATAAGCAGTTCCAGGAAAAACAACGCGAGAGGGAAAGGATGATGGAAAAGAAATGTTACTGTTATTGGACTATGCTGCAGTGGGCGCTGCAGTACAGTGCGGGAATTGTGGAGCATTGGGGGTGCTATTACCCATACAGCGATGCCCCACCTTTGGAGAAGCTCCGGCAGTACTGTGGGGTGCTTTCGTATGATGGGGTGGTGGACCTTGTTGCGGCCCACCATGCGACTATACGCGGACTTCAGTGCAGAGGAAACACCGCAGGTTCGGATGGGGTTGGGGTATCAAGCACGTCGTCTTTGGGATTACCGTGCCCACTTGCTTCGGAGTCCACTATGACCGCTGTCAGGGACTCCACAGCGCTAAACAGGCGAGGGGAGCCGACGGATGTCATGGTGCAGTTACTTGTGTTGATCCCGCCTCGTAGTGTGGCGTTGTTGCCTGTTATTATCCAGCAGCACTACAACGAGATTCAGGAAGCCGTTCAACCCCCGGTAGAGGAACTGGACCTCGTACAGATTCAGGAATGGTGTGAAGGGAAGAAAGTTTTGCTTAGGAAAGAGGAGCAGACGCGTTTCCATTTTTATAAGCTTTTGTCTAGCGATAGTATCTTATGTGGTCCAGAGGCTACCTGTGCCGATACCGAGCAGCAGCCGAGAATATTATCAAATGAAGTAGTGTTCATCGCGTATTGGTCCACGAGCACCTTTCGGCAGCAAGCGGAGGACGCCGTACAGGCCTCACTTTCCAAGCCATCACCCCTTACTACTGCAATGCCTGTGTGTAGTAATAAAATTAGCACCGTTGTTTCTGAAAACACACGTAAGCGAAGCGCTGCATCTTTTTTTGGATCGAAATTAGTGAAAGGGGGCGTTTCTGCCGCCGTTACCGCCCTCCAAACGTCGCCACTGAGGCCAACCGTAACGCACCCTTCTACACCAACCGCGGCTGAGAGCACGTTGTCCACTACTGAGGAAACCAATACCCCACAAGCAGGCTCTTATGGGGAGCCTGTGAGAGCGAATGGGGGCGCTTGCGAGGCGGCAATTCTCAGCGACGTGGATGGCTGCTACTTTTGGTATGTGGCACCATGCGTGGTTCTACCCGATGACGGGCTGCGCAAGGCTGTTGGGGTGATCGAGGGTAATCGATTTCTTGTAGACGGTAGTGCAAACGCGGCGATACGTAGCAGTGGGAACGTCAGTGTGCTTTCACGCGATACTTACGGGAGGATGGGCGTGCGGCTCCAGTGGGAGGTCGCAACAATGCCACCTCTTTCTGGCCTAGGAGGGCATGCTAACAGAGCTGCAATGCAAAGCTGCGTGACGTCGCTGCTCTTGCCGGGCTACACCCCGCCAGTAGTGCGAACTGTGATGGAAAAAGTTAGATCAGAGAGAGAAAAAATTTCGATGACGGGCCCTTGCACTGATCCATGGCGTCAAAATACATCCCTTAAGCGACTGCGCGATGACGACAAAGATGTTTCCATCTAAGTGGTAGGGGCTCGAGAGCTGTGTTGACTCATGCAATCTATGATATTGGATCTCCTCTACGCCACTTCTGAGAGTTTTCGTTATTCTCTCTTTTGGTATGGAAGTTTGTGTGCGTACATAAAAAAAAAATAACTAAATAATCTATAGATTTATATGGATCGCAAGTGTTGATGCAACGACAATATTTCCTTCTTCTCCTTAGACAGGTCCGGACATGAATAAATCTGCGAGTAATGACAATAATTATTTTACCCAATATATATTAAGCAAGCTTGAATTATTAACTATTATATTGTTTAATGTTAGATTATCTATGTTCATATTGTAGGTTTCACTTTTCACATATATTTTATCTTTTCCCAACCTTTTATGGCTTCACTTAACCTTTCAATAAAATATATTTTAGGTTTTATTGTTTCTTTTTGTATTTAGATAAATACATTCGTAGGTGGTGTTATATTTGGAAGCGTTTAGGAAAGCGAATACATCTATACTAGTTATTTTGATTTCTTTTTTTTCTTTAGACGAAAAGGTTTGAAAAGAGTGAAGCGAAGTTTGGAATCTTTCTTACTGGAATTCTTTGCGCTTGGCAAGGTTCATTACTATTAGCATTAACTTTTTAGAGCAAACCAATATAGTTTGAATTGTTAGCTACTTCTTGTTGGGTTATTATTACTTTATTTTTATATGCCTCTTTATAGTGTGTCGATATGTCCCCTGAAGCTCAAGGCGAACTTTTGCCAGCCGGGCTATATGTATTCTGTGCATGTAAACCGAAAGGATTTGGATGTAATGACAGAACCATTCATTTGTGGTAATAATAGGGAAGTGAACTTCGCAGCGGAAAGCGACATCATTAGAGCCCCTACTTTTTCTATTGCTTTTAATTCACCAAAAGATCAGCGCATCATTAGCATCAGCATCTATTACTACGGCAACTCCCGCAGCTTTTCCAAGATAACAAAATTTGAAATTCCTCTTGCAGGCATGTGCAGCGTGCTGGCAGGGGAGGCTATTTGTGAGATCAAGGCTATTTCCTTCCGTATAATGAACAATCCGGCGAAGTTACATGTGATTTTTCGTATGCATCCTGTAGGGACTCCGGTACCGACTTTGAGGGGAGTCTCCTCTCCGAAATCTACATCCAAGTTGATGTCCGACTCGTATTCCCCTCAGGAAGGCATTAAAAATTCTAATGATACCCACAAGACGCGGCTTCCGATCTCTGCGCTGAAGTCTTTAATAGAAGCTGATATATTACCGTCTAGCATGGAATCAATCGAAATGGACGTGGATTTAGCGAACGAGATAGCTGCCCGGGTATCGATTTTGTTTCCGAGTGAAGCAGACTTGAAGGAACGGATTGAAACACTGGAGCGTGAGATTATACAGCTCGAATACGACGCACAGTATGGTAATAAGGATAGAGTTACTGTGAACTCTGCGGCTTCGACAGCACTGGTGAATGAAACAAACTTTTGGAAGGAGAAGGTCGCACAAATCGAAGCGAAGTCCGATCACAAGTTTGGTATAGCCCCGATAATGTCAAAGAGTGATGGAAAGTTATTCACGTCACAACAAAAAGGCATGATCGCTGAGGTGGAAGATACTATTGAACAGAAAAAAATGGAAATGCTTCAGCTCGAGGCCATGCAGCGGCATCGTGATGTTACTGATGACGTTATTGCCTTACTACAGCAAATCCAGACTCTCGAAAAGACGCTGTTGGAGTTAAATAAAGACAAGGCTTCTTCTTTAGAACAGAAACCCAAGACGGTTCCGATTGATATCTTCAAGAATGGTGATCAATGGGATAAACTGGCAGCACGACTCTACGATGCCGAGGCAACGACAGAAGAGTTACGGCAGATCATATTGTCCCTCAACCGCCTCCAGTACGAGCCTTATCCTGCAGGGATAGAGGCAGGGTTCATGCATTGTGTTCCTACTGAATTAGACTTTGTCAAGGATAATAAGCGAACCCCAGAAAATATCCCGCCGACACTGGGTACAGCCAGTTCTTATCAATCCGCCGCGGCCGTTGCGCCTCCTGGCGGAGTCGTTAAAAAGGCCGATGATTTTCTGGATGACCTCTTCGGCCCTCCTGCCCCACAAGCGGAACCCTTGCCACAAACTCAGCCAACTGTCGCACCCTCAAACAGCACTGCCACGCCAACTCCTTACGGGACGGGCTGTTTCCCACCCACTGTGGCGAAGGCGCCCGCAGTTACCCCGGATGGTGTGTTCGCTTCCGTTAGCGGACCGGTTAAGAACGTGGCGAAGGCAACCCCGGAGGCTGGCCAACCACCTGCATCACTTTCAGCTAACGAGATTCCTCCCCCTATTGCACCCGATCTGTCTCAGAAAGAGGGGGTGTCGCCCGCGTCACAGGCGGCGCATGCAACGCTGATCGCGGTCTTGCCTGATTCAGGGGGCCAAGGTACCACGTCTGGTGCGTATTCGGAAACCAAGAGCACTGATGCCTTAAATACACCTAACGCTTTCTCAGCCATTGTAACTGCTGTCCAAAGTCAGACAAAGCTCTCTCCAATTCCTGTGGTACTTTCTCCAGTGCCAGACCAGTCTCTTCAGTGCCAGGATCCTTTAAAGCCTTCAAACAACACTGATGCTACCACGCAGTTGTCCTCACAGGCGCAAGAAGTTGACAATGTAAAACAAAGTGCAACTTACATGCCACAGCAACCCCAACTACAACAGGAGCCCCAACCACAGCTATCTCAGCTGCAACCTCAGCCCCAACCTCAACCCCAATCTCAGCCCCAACCTCAGCAGCAAACCAAAACCGAACAGGCACCACCCAGTCTGCCGATTCCTCGTTATGAGCGTCATCTACCGTCTCTCCAAGCGATACCGTACAGCAATTTTTTCAACATTCCGCTTATGGGCCGCGGTTGCCCCCTTGACATTTACCTCGATGACAAGACTCCAACCCGAGGCACCGAGATCAATCTAATCAACAATGCGGATTACGCTATCCTTATTGGGGGAATCGAGCTCAAGCAGGAGGATATGTTTTCATTAGATCCAAACAGCACGCGAACAATACCAACACGGCGTTGGCCCCAACAGCTTCAACTTCAAGGCGGCGGGGGTAAGGGCACATACATCATTGCTCTCTATCCCTCCTTTCCTCGTGGGATATCTTTGATGTTGTTGGTGACCGTGTACGTGTATGTGAAAGACCGCTACACACCATTTTCTGCACGATTCACTGTGTAAAAAATAATAATAAGAAAAACACCAGGATCAAGGTGCGACAAGCTGTGCTTTATATTTATCTTTATTGGAAAATGGGCTGAGGCTTTTAGTACTTGCACTGAAACACTTGATTAAAATCATAATTTAGACAAGACTTGTGTTTGCTCATAGATGTTTCTTTCCTTTATGCCTTATTTATTATTTTTGATCATCTGTCTTGCTCTACCCTTTCTTTTTTATGTATGGCGCTTTACACAAGATCTGTCACGCAATACGTCCTTTTTATTTCTACTGTGACGAAAGTGATGTCCTTTTTCGATCAATAACCCAGGTACTTTTTTCCCTTTTATTTTCTGTGAATTTTTGCGTTTATTAAAATTAAGTTGCAGCTTTTGATCAAATAAGTTTTCATTCGTTTTTTGTTTTTTTTACGTATATACATGTTAACAATCTGTTTCCATGTGATTGACTATTGTTTGGTGTGTTACTAAACAGTACATGAGTAGAATTTATTAGTCCTTTTTAAAAGAGTAAAAGGACGGTACATCTTTAAAGCAACCTTTATAGTACCTAAAAAAAAACGAGGAAGTAGCCCAATAAGTGAACTATAAGAGTTCAATTCCTGGGGTTGAAAAATAGGCAGGAATTAATTTAAGTCATTAAAAAACTCTAGGATGGTTTTACATTTCTACGACAAAAATGAGACTAAATATTCTACACACCGTATTTTTCAAAGAAAAAACAGTCGGTCAAGAAGGAATAATGGTAGATTATCATCTTTATTTGCATGATATAAATATTTCTCTTCATTGGGCAGCAAAGGTTCTATAGACGTGTAAATACCGTTTATATTGATCAACTCTGACATCATTTAGCTTGTAATTCTTTTTTTAAATATATTTTCCTTTTAACAAAAGACAATCCCAAATAATATTGCAAAGTCAAAAACAGATAGAAGAGGTGGTATTCTCTCGGATGCGTTCCTCATCACCCATTGGCACCTTTCGCGGTAGCCGAGTTATCATAGGAATTGGAATCTTAGGGGCCCTACGTCATCTTGCTTAGGTATAGACCGACTTATATCGTTCAAGAAACCGGTTGGTGAGTTTGGCCGCAAGAGCTGACATTTTTGGTGCACAGTCGTATCTTTGTGAGACTTTCAAGCAGCTATCTGAAAGGGAGGTGGGAATGAAGACAGTTCGCGTGCCGCGCGTTATGGGATCTTTCCCAGATGTCATCCGCTCGTCTGCTGATGATGGGGTTTACATTGTACTACCAATTATGGAGCGCGATTGTTAGGTTCTAGAAGACCTCGCCTGGGAAGATATCAGCAGGATCATGTGCCTAGTGAACTTTGCTGTTCCTGTGAGCGTGTCCGGAGCGCGGGATGTTATTAAGGAGAAGGAAGGGAAAAAGGATGTGCAGAACGCAATGAAAGACAAAGGACTTCGTTTCCGAGTGGTCCGCTCTGTGCTGAAGTCAGCGGATCTTATCCATCGCACACAGCCGTTTTCAGACTTTGATGCCACTTCACCAAGTTCTTTTGCGTCATCACTACTGACGAACGCTATGGAGGAAGCAACCACAAAGGAGTATTTTAGTGCTCCCCTTCCCCCCCCCCCCCCC